ACACGCATGAACCTTGTTTTTCAATCACGGATTGTCCATCCTCGTCCACGCGGACGCAATTCCATTTTTCGGCCTATTTCCCCCTCTACTGTATTTTTCTTTTCTTTTTTTTAGCGCACGTTTATCTCACGCAGGAATACAAGATTAAAGATTTACCGCGAGTGCCGTGCTCGCGATATATAATAAAAGAAACGAGCGATGTTCGAAATATGTCTGGATCGTGATTGAAACGATAGAGCAATGAATACACTTTTATTGGTTTTATTTTTGACCTCTTATCATCGATAATAAACTGTCTAAAAAAAGAAACAACGTATTACTCGGGTAAAAAAACACTGTACAGTCGAATTTCCCAAATATGTATCGACAAATTTCGCGATATTAAAAAAATCTCTGACCGCGATTGAAATAATACAGCAATGAATCTTCTTGCATCGAATAATAAACTAAAATCTACAAAAACGGAATATATATTTCGGGTACAAAAACTACAGACGAATTTCCCGGATATCGACAAAATTCGCGATGTTCGAAATATTTCTGATCGTGATTGAAATAACACAGCAATGAATCCACTTTTACTATTTTTTATTTTTGACCTCTTATCATCAACAATAAAGTAAACTCTCCACAAAAAAAAAAAGAACAATATATTCCTCAGGTAAAAACACTGAACACGATACGATACAACACAACACAAGATACAAGACAACACAAAACGATACAGCAATGAGTCCACTTTTTCCATTCTTGATTTTCTGTCGTCGCTAATAAACTAAAATCTCCAAAAAAGAAACAAAAAAAAAACAGAATACACATATCTCTCAGGTAGAAAAAAAAAAACCACTGTAAACTGAAATTTCCCAAATATTGACAAATTTCTCACGAGGATACCCTCTTGTGTGACAGTTTTCACTTAGCGCGACGTGAAACGATAACCAGCTTTAATAAAGCACGTAGCGTCCGGTAAAAATCATCGAGCCCGGTTTTACAGTTCGTCTAACAATCCGGCGAAACGCGTCGAATAAAACGTCGGATAGCGGAGCCCCGGATATCCGATGAAAAATCCGTGGTCGTGCACTTCTGCCGGTGACACGATTATTTTTATCCGTTCCCCGTGTCCCGCGGGTTAAGCGAGTTTCCCCCCAACGGAGTCGTTCAGCCGTGTGAGAATGATACCGATAACGAGGATATAATCGTGGACGATTGTCCGTTTCAGTACACGGATCTAACCTACACAACCTATCCGAACCTGTCGAAGATGGTGTTCGCGATCTTCATGGTGTTGGTGCCTATACTGCTGTTGAACATGCTGATCGCCATGATGGGCAACACTTACGCGCACGTGATTGAACAGAGCGAGAAGGAGTGGGTCAAACAGGTAAATATTTGCCGGACGATATAATTAACTGGTGATTTCACGGATTAACCGGATGTATTGTTTGCTGTGCTTTGGACAGCGCGGGCCCGAGGGGAGGGTGTATCGTGTCGTGGGTGTGGGTATGGGATTAAGTGCAGCGGGTTGACTGGGAGTGTCGTGTGTAAATGTTTAAACGAATTATTATGTTAGTTTAGAATAAAGCTGTGACTTAGTCATTCGTACGCGTGTTTTATGTATTTATTTGAAGATATCGGGGTGTGTTATGCGTCGGAGTGATTATGGCTGTTGCACTGCTGTTTATTCGAGAACGTTTGGAGAAAATAATAAAAAATATTTAAAGAATGTTTCGAAGAATTATCGTCTGACGAATACTTTGAGAAAGTAAGGGTGAATTTTTATTTCCGAAGAATTATCGTGCACTTGAAATTCCTCGTGAACAGTTCTGAAGGAAGTTTATGTTTTCTATTATTTAATAATTGCGAGACTCAATGTGACGTTTGTGTATGTGGAAGATATTCAATAAATCAGTCGGTAAAAATATTTAGGAAACAAAAATTGATCCACACACTGATTATGTAGCAAATAACTCTTTATTTGCAACACAGTTTGTTATGTAACAGTAATGCAATGTAACTGAGTTCTTAAATGTTAAACGTGTGCGAGTCCAATGTCCCGAGGTTCAAGATTCGTGTAATCGTTCGTACCAGAGTTCAGATTCTATGTTTCACTAATGTGTTCTTACAACAATGTCCTTTTTGTCTATCACCCCAGTCCCTTTATACGGTTTTTGTCCGTCCATTTGGGTCCCTTGACGGGGGTGAGATTTGGGTGGGAGGCCAAAACTCCCGATCAAGTTAGGGCCTTGGTCGACGCCCGACGCCAACCGCTCACCCTTAGGGAACGGGTGTTCTGGGTAAGGTACGCGTCACCTGGGCTTATGGGAAAAACCCAGGTAACGGTACCGCTCGCTCGCTCGCATGTGCCTCAGCTCGCGTGGGTTTATGATACGTCAATTGCTACTGAGATGCACGAAGAAACTCGAAATTCTCCGCTTCTACGAGAGGTTTGGAGCCCTCCTGACAATAAGGAGTAATTAACGAACGAAAACATTAAACGCGTATTCAAACCTTGATCTCAAAAGTAGCAGAGTCGCGTCCGTATCGTAAACCTGGTCTAAACTTAAGTATCCTTAACAAAGAAACTTACTAAATATCGAAGTATTGATATTACACCTATCTTCGGACTTACATGTACTCCACTTGACACGTTAAGCGCCATGTCAGTAACCGGTGACTGACAGTATACTTTTCGTTTCGGTACGCGTCAGTCACTGTTGACTGACGATATACAATTTGAAAAATTATATTCTATTAATAAATTTTAAATAATTTAGAGATCATAAAAGAACGTACCTAAATATTACTTGTTACCAAAAAAAAATTCTAACGAGTATTATTAAAACACATGCAGTCTTATCGCAACCTTACACAGATCTCTGGCCGCCAGCATATCGCGGGCTAAACGGAAAGGAAGACAAAACAGGCTTGGCGCTTAACGTGTTAAGATAAATATTCAGGGTGTCCCGCAAAATTAATATCAAATTAATCCAGTATTTTCAAATTACATTAGCTTACAAAAAATACACTACTCTTGAAAATTTTGGTACAAAAGAGTGTTCTATTTAAAAAAATCGAGCTCATCTTGATATCTCCCAAACAAACAGATTATTTAAAAAAACCACTTCAGCATATTTTCGTAGAACGCGTCATTTAGAAATGATTTGGATCTGTACATGAAAATGTCCTAGTCTCTATTCTGCACATAAGAGGAGGCAAGCAAAATGTAAAAATACACCGAGCCCGAAGAAATTCAGTATCGAAATGTTTAATTGATTGCAGTGGGCGAAGATCGTGGTTTCGTTGGAGCGAGCAGTGTCGCAGAAAGACGCGCGGAATTATTTGCAAGAGTACAGTATTAAACTGGGACCTGGAGATGACCCGAACAACCCAGCCTCGGAGCAACGCGGTGTTCTGGTTATTAAAAGTAAATCGAAGACCAAAGCGAAGCAACGCAAAGGCGCCGTGGCTAATTGGAAGGTGACGCATTTACCTCTCCTTCCCCCAATTTTCCTTTCTCATTTTTACGATTCGTTATGAATAAGGTCAATTCGAAACGATTTGCTTTCTACTCGACCGGTATTGTAAATTATTTATGGCCACTGATTGAATTGAATCTAGATTGTGCACCGCGTGTATCGCAATCTCATTGAGGATAGAGGTATTGTACGAGCGTAACAATCGTGAATAATTCTCCGAATTTTCGGCATCTCTGATTATTAGCTGGTTAATTATTTCTGCATCGTTTTCTTCAACAATCGAACGGTGAACGTTAACGAGTAAAAGTTTGACATATTATTTCGAATAATCGATGCTATCGCGGTTCGGACGAAATGCTGTTTTTTAATGGGAAGCGAAATTCCGGCGAATTTTTCATTCTAAAATGAAATATTTTAACCTTGCATTTCAAACATTTCTTGACAATGAAAATAAGTTGAGAAAGGTAACGATACTGTAACATAAGAAATGGCAAAGTAAAATTTTTAGTTCGAGTATCAAAGTACTTACTTTGCTCAAAATTTTCATCGCTCAGGCTACTCGCTCAATTACCAGTAAATTGAAAGTAAATCGAAATAAATAAAATTCCACTATTTTCAGTGCCCTTAAAAAAATACCATTTTTAAATACTACTTCAAAAACTCATCACAAGAAATAAACTATTTTATTTTCACAGCCATAAGCATGATTTAAAATAGAATAGACTATCTATGTGCTATTTCAAATAATATTTTACCTAACTCTGCACTTAACTGATATCTTAAAAACCTGTGTTTTGATAATTTCACGAGGGAATTATAATCTCGAATAAGCGTCTGATCGAGAATTGTGTTTCTAGTAAAATGTCAGTTTCTCTTGTATGTGCAATATTTCAGTATATGCAGTGTGAAAATATCAAAATGAGAAAAGTAAAAATTTTAAATTATCAGATGAATTATCGTTACGAAGTAAATGGTTACAAATGTTTAAAACATTAATTAACGATCCATAGAAAAATTAGCACGACATTTAATACCGGTAATGTAAATATATTTCCTCTAAACAAAGATTCAATCTTTTTTAATATAAAAAAGATTAAATTTCAATGAAAGAAATTGAGAAAAAACGCACAAAATGTTACAAATTATTTCTTCTAAACATTATTAGAAACGCTTACTCGAGGTTACACTTCGAATTACACGCAGAAAATAACAATTTCCACTACTGTTCTGGTCATTCTGCAAATAATTCCTTCAATCTTATCAGCACCATTTTCATGTACGATTTGTCATTTTTAATCCTCGCATTCTATATTTACAGCGCGTGGGGAAGGTGACGATAAACGAATTAAGGAAACGCGGCATGACAGGGGAGGAATTGCGACGAATTATGTGGGGTCGAGTATCTTTCTCCACGCCGGTCAGAGTAAGGTAATAATCCAACCCATTGAATCTCCTGCATTCATCGTAGTAAAAAGAGAGAAGAAAAAAAAAAAGAAAGGCTCGTAAATTTGCTTTACGGTTGTTAATTGATTCGTTAACAACGATTCTGCGGGCGTAGATTGTATCGGCTTAATGGGACACGATATAGCTGACCTTGGACTTGTGGGAATTAATGTGGAGGATATCAGGGTTATGGAACCCAATATTAACGTCGACAAACGCGATGCATACGATACTGGCAATATTAGGTGTACGACACGTCATTCGGTAAACTCTGATCTTCACAGGTCACGATATCGGCGCTCGTCAACCCGCGCATCGCTATAAATCCTGCTGTCCCGGCACCTCACCTTAAAGACAGCGGAATTTGTGGCGATCTGTGCTAACGGTTTTCGCGTCGCGGGAGACAATATTGGAAATTCAGGCATCGTGGAGTCAAATGCTAAGGATTACAGACAATTAGGCCGGATGTCAAATGTCTATAGAGTCGCAGAAATCGATATTGAACGCACAGAGAATTAGAAGACATTGTTGCAGGGGACTTTTGAGATCACAGGATACATCACGTTGTAGGATATGTACTGTAGATTGAGATATCGAGAGACTTGAGATTAGCAACACTTCACACCATAAAATCTGATATTAACGACCTCTGAGTTCATTGGACTTCTGGAACTCATAGGACACCTATACTGAGTACGTTCAGGTTCAAAGATCAGACGTGGAACGCTGTTGGAAAGAAAAATCCAAAACTGAGTATCAGTGAGGTCAAGGATTCGAAACTGGTTATTGTTAGAGTCATGGGATGTAACTTTCAGAATTTTACAACTGCTGGACTGGGAAATAGGTTCTTATGGTATCGAAGGAGTTGGTACTGAACACTTTCAAGATCCTGAGACGTAGTATTTAGCAATACTCAAAGGCTAGAGAGCATTGAATGAGGTATTCAAAGCTCGAGAGGTCATTGACCCTATATTCAATGTCTCAAGGGTCACTGACCCCAGTAATAAGGGTCTCAGAGATCGCTCACCTCAGTATTAAGGTTAACAAAAGTTCGTTGACTCCGGTACTTAGGACCTCAAAGGTCATCGACCTCAGCACTCTGGGAATTAAAGATCATTGACACCAGAACTCAGAGTGTTATTGTTAGAGGTCGTTGACACCCGTACTCAGAAATCAGTGATCATTGGTTCGTTAGCTCAGACTCAAGGATAGGTACCCTAACTCAATCTAACTCAAAGGATCTTGACATTGGATCCTACGACTCTATATCCTACAAAATCTTGAATAGTCAGATCTTCTGACCCTGAGGCACACGCATATTGAAGTCTCTGGTCACCAACATTTCCAAATAGAATACTTTATGGCTTCTTAGATCTCTAACATCAGATACCATCGTTCTTAGAGCTCTTACTATTAGATTCTACGTCCCGAGGATTTATACCATCCAATCGTATGTTCTCGCCGATACCTAACGTCATGTTCCATGACCACACCTGTGCCCAATATCGTATCTTACGGCTCTATCTACGCTTAGCGTCGTATGTTGCGACTTCACCGGTGCCTAGCGTCATATTTTCCAACCTTTTTAATATCCACTACCGAGTTTTCTGGCCCCATTAGTGCCCAACATCGCATCGTACGATCGTATTAGCGTCAAGAATTGAGTTCTATGATCTTGTGAGTGCCGCGAGGTGTACGAGTATCGTATCTTGTGATCTTTACAACATCCAGTGTCGTATCTGTCACCCGGGTAACACCCAATAACCTATCCTATGAGCTCTTTAGTAGACACTATGCTAGCCTATGAGCATTTCAGTACTCGATATCATATCCTACGACTTTGTCTCTGCCCAATATCATATCCTACGTCCCATCAGTGTCTGTTACCCTGCTCTATCATCTTTTCAGTGACCAGTATTACGTTTTATAACTAACTTCTGTCTTCCTAGTGTCCCCATTTCCATGACGTTTAATTTTTGAAACAGTAGGTACACACTGAGTTTTATAATTCTGGGAAAATTGAGGTTTCTCGTGTTCCTGATGGTACTCAGCCTTCAGTACTTCATTCTGTTAATGTTCTATAGTCTTGCACTAAACAATAGACGATATTATCACGAGGATTCGTACTCTAACTTCTGTGAGTTATAGTAAACAGCGCAAGATCATACGAGTTCCATAGTGATCTAGACGAAGTCTTTGATTCCAACAGTATTCAGATTCGCTTAGGAGGCTTTTAATAACGCAGAGTGACGAATGTAAATTATTTCGATGCTTACCTAACATTTCACCGAAACTCACTTCTACTTACGGTAGCGTATTTATGCTTGCTGTTCGATCGGTGTAAACTATTAAACTGAAATGATTGAACGAAATGACTTTCGGCTGCTTTTAATCTCAGGCAGTAAATAGGGTAATGGAGTCTTATAATTTGAACGGTCGAAAGTTAATGCGTTAGTTTTATAACTGGGCGTAACGTTAAAGCAGAATAATTATTTCAATAAAGTCCGGCCTTTTATGAATAGCAGTACCGTTACGTTTTCAATAGTACCGCTCTATTTACCTCGTTCGACTTCACATCCGTTTTTAAATACCATCAGCACTTTAAACATTTGAAAGAAATTCAAGTTCGCTTTACCAACCTCTCCGAGGTGTCGTTCCTTTTGTCGCTCTCAAGTTTCACTTTTATACAGAAATGATGATATTTATTGAATTTTTTATTCGAGATTTATGTTCGTTCCTTCTTTTCTTTTTTTTTTCAATCTGCTCCATGTGTCAGTGTCTACGAGAGACGTGAACATAAATTTCCAATCGTCGACCTTGCACGGATGATTCAGAGCGCGATGACGCTCTTTATCACCGCGTAGTTGTCTCATGCTCGACTTGTCTTTTACACTTCCAACAACATTAACGATCCAAACGGTCTGGAAACTTCGGTCGAAATGTAAAATAAACGTGGAACGGTAAAGTAACTGACTGATTTTATCGACGCCATTTTTCTGCTACAATGAAGTAATCAATTACGTAACACATGTATTTACGTTACCATGTCTCGAGAATTGTTGCATTTGATTCGTAATTACGTGAATATTAAAACTTCGTATGGAATGTATTTTTACGATGTTCCTCAGTTTCGTAAATTTCGCAGGATTTTCAATTTTTCAATTGCAATCAAGGATGAAAGATGCGTGCATAAATATTTGAAAAGAATTACTTTAATAATGTTTTTGAATATTTATCGGTTGCAATAAGTTCTGTTTTACGAAACATTCGGAATGAGGAGTATTTTGGTCTCATTTGAGATTTAAATTACACGCATTATGAATATGTAAGAGAGCATTAATTTCTCCGAAGGCTGTAAATTTGTTTTAAACATTATCAGCTATTACGAGGCTGATACCCAGTTCTTTTCGAACTTCGTACGAACGTGTAGCGATATATCATGTGTATCTCAAGCCTGCGTACCGGGTGTCTCAATAATTCCTCACCTAATCAATATTTTCTAATCTAAAATTATGAGTTTCTACAGTCGTGAATTCTAACTGAAGAAAATTCGGAAACAAAAACTGAAGAATATTGAAAAAAATTCCACAATAATTCCTCACCCAATCAATATTTCAAACGATATTTTCTAATCTAAAGTTATGAGTTTCCACAGTCGCGAATTCTAACTGAAGAAAATTCGAAGACAGAAATTTGTAGGATTAGATTTAACGATAGGAGGATAGTGCGTGATCTGGGTTACTTAGTACCCACACAGTAAGTTCTTTTTGTCTTTATTATTTAGCTGGTTCACGAGGTCCCTGCTTCACTGACTGTGACCCTCCAAGTCACCTCAGGAGCTTCTTTCTCACCCTCTTCTTTTTCCTGATCGGTTACCCCCGACTTATTGGTTGTAACCAATCAGGAATTTTGTCTTTAACCCGCCGCTAGTCCTTTGCGCCCTTGGCGCGCTTTTTCCAGGACCGCGGCGAATTATGGTGGGAGCGTATTGTCCTCTGTAGCGCATTTGGTAGCGCCGCGGATTTTCCTCCAGGTCCGGTACTTGGGACATGTGGCCTGGGCCTCTGGGCCCGTACGCGGACCTTTCGGCAACCCTTGGTTCACGACCTGGCAAATTGCTATTGAGACCATTGGTGAAAGTTTCTACGAAAACATGCATTGTTAGATTTACTAAACGTTAAACAGACTAAAACGGTTTTCTCAAAAATAGCTTTGCTAGCGTGTCCGTCATAAACCGTGTTGGTCGTCCGCGCGGCAGATGCTTGCTTCTGCACTACAGCTGGTAGCCACAAACTGAAGAATATTGAAAGAAATTCCAACCACTTTGATTTAAACAATTATTCGTGAATTTACCTCAGTTACTACAAAATGGTACACCATTTATCAACATTATCGTGCTTATATCGTTTCTTTAAAGAATTTGTCATTTACCTACCGATTATCGTGTCTACAATGGATCCTAAATCGAGATAAATTTTTATTCGAGCGCTCAAGTGGAACATAAGCGTCTCACTGGTCGCGAAAGGGTAAAATAACAGCGTGTAGTAAATATTCCGGTATATAGGAAACGAAAATGAAGTAAAAATTCGTATCTCTGCGCAGTCCAACTGCAGCCGAGCCTCAAGTTTCAGCTGTAACCGCCGGTTTCGGGGACGCATTGACCGCGGCGTTGGACGTGATGGCGTTTGCCCACGATCTCGACTTGTCTACAGCCACAGAAGGAATTCCGACCAATATAGACGCGAAGCAATCGAAATCGAAGGCTACCGGCAGCGATCAAACGAAATCGACATCCTATAATCAGGAGAAAGTGTCGACGAATGTTCAACCACTGCAGAAACCCTCCGCAGAAAACGGGAATAAACAGTCGAACGATCGAACCGAGGTTAACACGAAAGCCAGTAAACCAGTGGATGTGCAGAAGATGAACCTGAAGAATACAAGTCGTAAGTGAAATTTGTACGATTGTTAACCCCTTGACCTATAACAACGTGTCAGACTCGTGGCAAAGATTTCGTCGAGATAGTTATATTAGTAAGAAGAGTTCGTTGCAATTCTGATTTTCGTTTTAATTTGCAAGACTAAGGATCACCGAATGTAATTAATCTGCAACAGATTAACTTTTGTTACCTGACACAGTATTAAAACGGTAAATGGCTGACGCTTAGGTGCATAACCAGAAAAAAATCATAGGTTAAAGGGTTAAAATATAGAAAATAGAAATCGAAGATTGATTAATTTTTATCCATTTTCATCGGTCGACGAAGCAAATGAAGTGGTAAAAGCAAGTTCCATAGTCGGTGTCATCCATTCGAGGCTAATACCGGGGTGTAAAATAATTACAAAGAGAGTTCGAGAACGTATATAACCGAACGTGCCAAAGTTTCACTATAAATGTTCCAAGTTTCGGTTCACGTTATCATCGAATTCCACGAGTAGGCTAACTGGAAGTTTGGTCAATTAAATCTTGCAAATTCTTTGCCGGATGCCTGTTATTATGCTTGTATAACGATTGCTATACTTTCAAAATCGAACGCTAACGACTTCGACCTGAGATCGTCTCGAGTAGAAAATTGGAAAGTTTCAGACTTAATTGAGATCGTATAACGTCTAAAATTGGAAATATTCTTGTTAATAATTTTGGATAACTTGAAAAATTTGTTTACGAACAATTATTTGCGAATCGAAGGTGGTTTAAAATTTATCATTTATGGAACTGCATATATAATTTAAAATTTCACAGGTAAATCGATGAAGATTTTAGCCTAACTTCCTTTTAAGCCAAATCAATTTTTAATATCCTTGAATAGGTAACACTACCATTTCTATCGTCAACCTAATCTTATCAATAGGACACATTTTTAACGCGTTTACTATTCAGGGTTAAAATATTAAAAATATATTTTTTAGTACTCTCAAATTAATTATTATTTTTACACCAAAGGATATAGCAATTAATAACTAAATTTGTAAGTTTATATAACACTAATTTTTGGTAAACAAAAATTCCTGGGGACCAGATTTAGAACAATTTTGTCACCCTTCTTGCCATTTTCACTATTAAGAAAAAAAAGTTGCATTTACTTACGAAGAAAAATATTACAATTCCCAAAATTATCATATTCCAAAAAACCAATATTTGCATAAATCAGTGAACATATATAACACTAATTTTTGGTATACAAAAATTCTTAGGAATTCAGGTTTAGAACAATTTTGTCACATTTCTTGCCATTTTCACTATTAAGAAAAAAAAGTTGCATTTACTTACGAAGAAAAATATTACAATTCCCAAAATTATCATGTTCCAAAAAACCAATATTTGCATAAATCAGTGAACATATGTAACACTAATTTTTGGTATACAAAAATTCTTAGGAATTCAGATTTGGGACAATTTTGTCACACTTTTCACCATTTCCATTATTATTAAAAAGAAGTTAAGTTGATCCTATCGTAATGATCGTATTCTAAAAATTAAACATATTCGATAACGTTCTTGAAATCCAGAAAATATCTATCGCGCCGTCGATGGAATTGATTAACGTTTCGGAAAAAAAAAAGAAAAAAGAAAAACAGAACAAAAAGCAACAAAATATTGCAAATATTTTGCAGCAGCTCCCAGATCTGTTTCAGCTGTCCTTGATCCTGTTCCCGCGCACGGGAGCGACAAAACAAAATGTCGCTGTTTCAGGCATCGGTGCACAACAAGCATTTCCCATTTTTGGCTCGAAAATATTCACATTCGTCAGGATTTAACGCAGCTTTGCCAACTTTTATTACGCGGCCGTGCTGTGTACCGGACGTTAATAAAACTTGGAAATGTGTCTGCGCATTAAAATAATGAAAGCTAGTCTATTTACGCCAACAGGAGCTACGACGAAGGCCAGAAACGAGCAACGGGGATATTTTCGTTTACAATTGAACGATGTAAACGTAATAAAACGCCGATCTGACCGTGCTTCGGTTGCTTATCAATTTTCCTCGACGAAGAAAATATACGGATCGAATGTTTTTTTTTTTTTTTACGCGGAAGCGGGAATTAGAAAAATCGTTGACCGAGAAAGCTGCCAAAAAATGGCTATGTTTACAGCCCACGGAAACAATTCCAGCCGTACACCATGACTTTTTCAATTTCATGAATAACTATGTGGAAGAAAAATGGAAAAAAGATATACGTAACTCCCGAAAATATTCAGACACTGATAAAACAATCGTTAAACGTGGCGCAGAAAAAAATATTTGCAATATTATTAATATAATAATTTTTATAAAATATAATAGTAATAATAATTTATATTATTTAAAATACAATTTACTACAATAACAATTAATATAATGATAATATTATTAATAGAGTAATATGAAGATTATACTGTGAATAATCAAGATATTCATTTTTGCTAAGTGCCTTAATATCTATGTAACATGATAAATGGACATAATTTCGATTCGTTCAGATTGCAACGTTATACGCTCTAACAATATTTACACTATCGATATTTCTTTAATATTATTAGGAATATTTATAATATCCTGTATAATATTTTTCTGCATAGTTTAATATTGTGAATGCGGACATAATTTCGATTAATTTACATTACATCGTTACATACCCCAACAATATTTACACTATTAATGTTCCTTTAATATTACTAGGAACATTTATAATACTTTTCTTCGTAGTTTAATACAGTTAAAAATATTTGAAACAGAAGAGAATCTCAGAAATGTAGAGTAACCGTCAATTATGGTCGCCGATGATCAAGATGTTGATGCGATCTTAAATTATACTTAAGAAAAGACGCGAATAGTTCATTTTTACAAATTTGGGTCGTACAAATCAATTTTGTCTTTATATATTCCGAGGAAAATATAAATCTCCTTTTTGCAGCTTCAACACTCCTGTTACTATTTTGCTTTTAATTCAGCGGATGATCGAAAAATAACATTGCGGAAAATGTTACGAGATTCGAATGAAATATCTTTTTCCAAATGTAAAGCGGTAAAATAAAAATATAAGAAGTTAGGAGGTTTCGATTGTTGCTTCTTTTTTTTTTTTTGGTTTGTTTGTTTTATAGATAATTCCATTTCGAATTACGTGAAAAAGAGAAAAGAAAAAAATAGATGAAATGAGAAGTTTGATCCTATAAACTTTATTTACCGCTGCTACCTTTCTTATTGCTACCAGGCTAGCATTTTACTCGAGAAACTTTTCTTCCAAAGTATTATCCCTCTCAATATTGTTTTATTCTTATTTAGAATATACAGGGTGGTCCACGCAACGTGTGCACCGTTATAACTTCCAAAATATACGTCGCACGAAAGAATGTTATATACAAAAGTTACATAGTTTAAAAGGGTACACTATGTAGTGCGTCAATTTCTTTTATAGGTGGAGGCGTTTCGGAGATTTGAAGGCCAACTTTGTTTTTTCAAACAGAATACTATATCTTTTATACCAAAATATGGTAAAGTGTCGAATTGTAAGTAAAAAAGTATTAATCGTTATTAGCCCTAAACCTAATAGCTAACGAGTAATTTCACTTTATTACTTGAAAATTTTCTTCATCCAATATCAAGTTGGAGATTTAACCTTATCTGTGATATAAGTGGACCACCCTGTATAATCGACCTTCTACAACCCTGACTAACTCGTATCATAAATCTTTGTATGATTAGTAAATAAATAAGAAAGCACGGCCTGTAAAATTAAAAAAAAAACCTTCTCATCCAATCGACCTTCTATAGTACATTTTTAATATTATAATTAAATATTATAATTGTTTTATATTATAATTAAGAATTGTAATATTATAATCTACACTTTTGTTGCTACATTTGTTTACAATAACAAAGTACATCATTTGCCAGTTGCACATTTTCGCGTGATAAATAAACCCACGTGACACATAGTGAGTTACCGCCAATGGAACGGATATAGTGAACTCGTAAACTAAATAAGGCGTGAAGAATGGAGCATTTTTGCATGCAGAAAGATAAGAAGGTTCGCGGCATGTCAGATGAGGCGTAATTTTTGGTGACAAGGTGCCATAAAGAAAAACGCTTAATAAAACAGGAAAAATGATCTGACAAGAATATCAGAACGCTGATTAGTACGAAACTTTCTGGTTAAATAAAAGTACGTCAGAATAGAAACCATCTATCATTGTTTTGCCAAGGAGAAATAACAGTGTGGCGAGTAACAAGCACAAGTGTACAATTTTTCTTTCAAACTACAATTATCCGGCAGAACAAAATCGAGAGTTTCGAAAGTAAGGTTTGTAAACATAAGATCCAACTTCTTATTTCACCTCTCCTTTACACATTTATTTTTGCTTCTTTCAAAATGGAATCATGTAAAAAAAGGGAAAAAGAAATAATGGAATTTCGTGGGATTTTTCTGACTGTACCGTGAGATTTTTCAGTTTCGATCCTGAATAAAATGAAATTACAACGAAGATCGAAAATTCCTTAAGAAGGACGCGCCCGCTTCAATTTGTGAATTTAACAAGCTCGGTTGTACGATAGGATGATCGTCGAAAAATCTCCAAATATACATATTTGTCCCAGATTTGCAGAGCACGGCCGAGGATTTTCAGGATCCGCTTTTGGAACTTTTGGCTGCCTCCGAAAATACGAGCGATCCTGAAACGCTGCTGAAAATAGCGCGACGCGCTGCGGCGGATGTCGAAGAGGCCACCAGCGCGAAAATAAATCTACAAATTTTAGAACAATTCACGATGACCAAGATCCCCGTAGAGGAGCAAGTCGCCGTTAAGAAGAAACAGTACTTCGTCGAGTCCAGCGACAACGATTTTGGCGGTAATTATAAACAATTTCTTGTAAATTAGCTTGCAATTAGTTAACTAACAGCTTCACATGAGTGCTGAATATCTTAGAAATAGAGTAACATGGAATTGTTAGAATTTCTTTTTTGGTTGGTTTATATATTCTCCAGTTTTTCAAGTAAAACTTAATTTTTAAATGTACAGTATAGTATTAGTATTAGTATAACTATTAGTATAAGTATAGTATTTATTAGTCAATAACATTGTATTAATATTCTAGTGTAGCAACACTTTTCCTTTCATTTTTATACTTTTCTTTATTTCAAAAGATTTAAATTATTTAAAAAACTAACTTCAATTTGAAAGAACTGATACATTAAAATTAATAGATTCATCCTCAACAATTGTCCAAAAATATTCACTATTTACGAAAACAGTGCTCCATGAAATATTATTTACTTTTCATGTATATTTGGAAGAAGAAAATTGCCAACCTTCCTACTATTAACTTATCATTAAAAGTGTCTACACCAATCTCCATTCATTTCGATAATTTGAAAGCATTGAAAAAGATTTGCTTCAATTAAAAAACATCTGTTTATAATATCTAAAGAAATGTGATATCTAAAGAAAAACTCTTTAAATTTCATAAAAATTAAAGAATAAAATGTCTGCCGGTAATCGCGAGTGTTGCTTCGAGACGTTCAAGTGTCGCGTGGAATTTTATCCCAGGCGACAACTTGCTCGGAACACAAGCCCGTCTGCGTAGAATAAGATCAGCGAACAACAGAGTTACCACGGCACGGAGACAGTCGCGGCACACCGACGACGACCTATCATCGACGTCTTCCGCATCCGTCGACGGAAATCCTCGATACCAGCCGCTGCTGAACGGACCCGAGGAGAATCCGTCGAACCGTCAAATCGAAAGTCGAGAGGATTCCACCGGGGCAATTAAGTCGCAAGTAAAGCAGAACGGGACATTCGAATCGTCGAAGAGCGAGGTTCAAAAGCGTAAAAGACCGAAAACGGCCAAAAACAGGTATTTAACTACAGTATTTAACAACTTTGTCGATAATTTACCTTTCCCTTTTGAAAGATTTTGAACGAAACGTTCGTGTACCGTTTTACGTTTCAAATTGTTACTTTGATAACTCTTTTTTTATGTATTTTTTCGAATCGGATTTGTTGGTTATAAATATAAACGCGTAACTAATATGATATAGTAAAAAACTCTCTATTACGTTATACTTTTAAGATACTGATATCACTGATACTGTTTCCAATACTGTATTTTAATATGAATTTTTTTATATTTTACCTAGGTAAAATTGGAATCGTGAAGGCACAACGGAAGTAGTAATAATAATGAATGTTTTATATATGATTTGTAAATATTCGATATTTAACGTTGTCCCTGCTTTTCAACTTTTCCTTTTTGCGTAGTAAGCAAGAAGCAAATTTACATGTTTCTTTATCAATGCAACTTCAACGTGAAAGAAACTTTTTTTATTATGAAAATAAATTTTCACATAAGATCATCTCAACGAAGTAATCTCATTCTGAAAAACTACTTAGCATAATCAATAAAAAAAGTTTGTAAAAAAATTGTGAGATTAGAGGAAAAAATACACATAACCTCTTTGTTTCTACGTCGTAAAAATATTACAAAACTTATTACGTAAATTTCAGCTAATAATTAATAATCGTCTGTTTTATTATGTTTCAAACAAACGAATCCTTTCTTTATTTGTTATAAAATATTATTACTTTTAAATACCTAATATTTCGAAGTACGCATTATGCATCTTGTCCATATGGTCTGCACGTATGTATACACGTTGTCATCTGCACGTTGTCCATAACCTATATCCATCTTCAGTTCGAATTTTTCACATCAGACACCATTACGAACAACAAACAAAAACGTACACAAATAACGGAACAATTATTACTTGAAGGAGTGACAAATGCAAATTCGTGGCGTAACAAAACAAGCTTCTTCGAGCTTTAATGTTTCATCGTGCAGCCACGAGAACCGGCACACAGAAACGAAAGTATAGAAAACACACAATTTCCTGGACCGGCCTGGAAAAGTAATTACAACATAATAGTCGAGTTACAACGTTTCATGGCGTTCGTGGCAAGTCACACATACACACACAGACACAAAAGCACGAACTGTACACACAATGAGGCTCGAAACACCAGGGCCACACGGCAACAGTATCAACAATCGATTCGTGTGTCGACATGCCGAGACTCGGGAACACGCAATATTGGAACATAGATTTCCTATTTAGATTTGTCGAATGTTTCCTTCCACTATTTTCCGTACGGAGTCGGAAAACTTTCACTGGCGCATTCGTTTCCTCGTCTAAATCGGTAGCAGCGGGCAAAATTAAAAGCACGTTTCGTTTTGTTTTGGTCGATGAAATTATGACCATACTGTACGACGTCATATTGTACTACGTGAGTACTTTTATGTATTCTATGTACTACTGTAGACAAATTTAACATCTTTGATGGTTAATTAGATGTGACAAATTATTTATGGCGTTTACATTTATTTGAACGTTAGAGCAATGCTTGTATTTACTTCCTTTGACAATTTGTCATATCGTCAATTAGCAATTAAATTAAATAGATAATTTATTATACACATGTTTATTTAAATATTGTAGTAGTATTTTCC